TTGTGCACTAGCAGCATTTACTTCTGAATATCAAACTGTTAATCCTAAAGTTATAAAAAGATGCTTCCTTCTTTTGGTTGAATAAGCCTAACAACTGCAATACAAAATATTAGTTCAGTTTATAATGCAGGCAGCAGATCTCCCAATTTGATTACTAAATGTTGGTATCTTTATTCTTATAATTATTTCTGCCTGTGAATAACTATTTTTTTAATAAAAATGGCCATTTTTCTATAAAGACTCTCAGAGAGTCAGCCTGTCGTGCCTGCCTGGGACCAGAGGATTGAGGCCACTGAGTTTTTCATATGTGGTAAGTCAGGTATTGCTGTAAATGTGATTTTGCCAGTGGGCCTTTTCCATTGGTACCTCATAACTGGATGAGAGGTTTAATACTAGATGCTGGTCAATAGATGGCACATGGCATTGAACATTACTTTTGTAACCCTGTACCTTACCTATTTTGCTGTAGGTATCATTGCCATTACAGGGTTAGTAATGATGAAGAGCCACCCATACTTCAGTCATTTGAGCTGTTCAAGTGTGGATCCAGGTTTTACAGTAGGCTTCATCACCTCTGCCAAATGTTCCATAATGGTAGTAGGCTTAGCAGAATTGGCTAGTTAGAACTGGTTAGAACTGAGTTGCTCTGTCGTTAGCAATTACATAATGTAGTAAAACATTACTAGTTTTATTGTGGCTGTATTCGGAATCTGCTCATTGACGTAATTAAGGTGCACACACAAAGTCTGTAGGAGAATGAGTGCAAGGTTCTTTGTTTGTTGTTTTGGATTTTGTTTGTTTAATAACTTGTAGTTTCCTTCCTAAAGATTTGAGATATTAGACTTAGCAAATAATTCTCATTGGCAGAGGAGCAGTTGAGGGCAAGAGAGACAGTGGCCAAAACAAACATAATGTTTTATTCTTTGAATTAACTCTCAAAAGATCCAATATTTAATTGAGAAAAAGGATTTGGGTAGGTAACACCTATGTGGCAATCATATGTTGGAAGCAGAGGGGAAAAAAATGAATGCTTGAACTGAGTAGAAGGAAGATAAATATGTGACCTTAACAAATATAGTTGTCTGTCACCTTTTGAGAATATTCTGTCTCTTGACCTAGTCAGTAAAATATGTAGTCTACATTTTGTCAGTAATGATTCAACAGATTATTTCCTGAAGATAAATGCACTAAATGTATTCTGTGCAAGTGCTTACCACAAATGCCACTGAGGAGTAAAATACACTTTACCTTAATATTTAATGTGCTAGGACTGTTTATTCTGATTTATATAAAAAATCAGGCCAGCAATCCAACATGGCTTAATCGGAGGTTTTTATTCTCAACTGTAAGGGTTCCACTGGCAGTGAAAAAAGTTGGTGGTGGGGTTTTGTTTCTAAACTGAATTGTATTTGAATAGTATTTGTGTTGACTTATGAAAGCTGACATCCCAGGATTGCCTTTCTGAGGGCTGTAATTTATGATGTAGCATTAGCATTTTACTAAAAGAAATTCCTGCAGTACTTTATTTCACATGTATTCCAGCATATCTCTATGTTACATCTCTCTCAAGTAAATTAATAGAATGCAAAAGTAAAATAAATACTGCAATTTTATTGAAATAACAGCTATATTAATCTTATTTTACAGGTATAAGTATTAAATATCTTTTATTGCTTGATTTAAAAGTTGCTTCACTCTTTTTCTGATGAGTGCTATTGGTGCTGTTACCTGGAGAGCAGCTGTGCTAGCTATGTCCTAGAGAAGGACTGTTGAAAAACATAGGCTTGAATAAGAGATAGCTACAGCTTTGAGAGGAAGTCCACAATGGATGATGCAAAACAGGAGAGAGTTATAGAGTAAGAATTGATGCAGTGATAGATTTTGAGGAAAATGGCTATGATACACAAGTAATGCATGACGTATTACTCTCCTAGGTTACTTTGTGTTTTGTTGCAATTACTGTTAATGGCTGGAGCCCTGCAGTTGCATTATCTTTCATTAAATTCGAGCTATGGTCTGCTGTGGTACTGAGATACAGTGTGATGAGATGGGCACTCACAGTATTTTTCTGCTTTACTGTATCTGAATATGTAATGTTCAGAGGATTTTTTCCCTCTTTGTGCCCATATATTTTTGACATCTGGTGGTACTAAGTGGATATGACTGAAAGTTTGTTAATGAGGATTCTGTCTTTCCAGCAGTAGGTTCTTATTGGAGAAGTGAAGCAAATTCTGTAGCTCAGCCAGAATGGAGCTAATTGTTGAACTTCTGGAAAATTACAGTGAAGATTTTAAGAAGAAATTATAACAGGTATTTTTTGCTCATTACCATCCTTCATTTGGGGAAGAACAAGAAAAGGCTGTCCATGACTCTCTCTTGCTCTGTTGGATAGGAAGGAATCACACTGGTGCTAACTAATTGGAAATGTAGAGAAAATTAAAGGTATGGTGGGAAAGGCACTAAGCAATTACAGGAGAAGTTTTATAAGGATGACTGAAACTAAATTGCAGAAGTGTATTGTGAGAGTTGGCAGTGAAAGGGAAGGTAAAGTTAACTGCAGGTCAGTGCAGAGTAATACAGATGGAGAACAACTATATGACATGCACTCTGTCTTTTAATTACTTATAGTACAGGTAACACCATTATGCCCCTTCATAAATCTAGGATTTGGCAGCACCTCAGTATTTGAATTTTTGGTACTTCGGGTATATCTCAGAGGTAAAGAGAGCTGAGAATGTTTCTATAGGGTCAAAGGGATGATCAAGCTAAGGAGTATCTTCCACCTGAGAACTGTTGGACTCTTTATCCTAGAAAAAATACAGCTGAAGGTGACTGTATATAGTGGGTTGACCATGTCTGACTTGTAGGTACCCACCAAATTGCTGTATCACTCCCCCTTCTCAACAGAACAAGAATATATGATGAAAAAAATAATGGGTCAAGATAAGGAAAGGGAGATCACTTACACATTATCATCACAGGCAAAATGGATTCAGCTTATTGAAATTAATTTATTGTCAATTAATAAGAGAAGGACAGTGAGAAATAAGAACAAATCTTTAAATAACCTTCCTGCTACCCCTCCCTTCTTCCCAGGCTAAATTTCAGTCCCAACATTTCTGCCTCCTGCCCCTGCACAGCACAGGGGCATGGGGAACAGGGGTTGTGGTCAGATCTAACACTTTGTCTCTGCTGCTCCTCCCGTCTCACACTCTTCCCCTAGTCATCCAGCCTGGGGTGCTCTCACAAGATAGTCATTCACAGCCTTCTTCAACATCAGTCCTTTCTTTCCGAGTTCTTCAAAAACTGCTCCAGCATGGGTCCCTTCCACAGTGTAAAGTCCCTCAGGAACAGCTGCTTCAAGTGTGGTTTCCCTGAGAGCCACAGCTGCCAGGAGGTTGTTTGAGCACAGGCTCTCCATGGTCTGAAGCTTCCTTCTAGAAGAAACAGATATACATCTCCTCTTGTGTGGGGTCCTCCATGGGGTATAGGTGGATATCTGCTCCACCATGTATCTCCATGGGCTACATGGGGACAGCCTGCCTCACGATGGTCTACACTATGGTTTTAAGGAGAGACCTTGCCGAGTACTTAAGAGGCACAGTAGGGCTATCAAACAGGATTCAGCTAATGAATTTCAAGCTAAGTCCTAACTTTAAAGATCCAGGGAGCATACTGTGGAGGAAGTGTCATATATTCTAGGCCCGCTTACTCCTCTTTTGGCTACTACTTACAAACTTGTTTGGAGATGTGACACTGCCTGAATAGAGCCTTGATAAGTCAGTGCAGATGATTTTCTGCTGTAAGGCTAATAGGAGAGAACAGAGGAACAAGGCTTCTCTCCTGAAAAATGTTAGGAAACCATAGAATCTTAAAATGGTTTGGGGAATGGAAGGGACCTTAAAGATCATCCAGTTCCAACCCCCCTGCCACAGGCTGGGCCACCTTCCACTAGACTAGGTTTCTCAAAACCCATCCAGCCTAGCCTTGAACACTGCCAGGGATGGGGATCTGGACAACCTGTTCCAGTGTCTCACCACCCTCACAGTAAAGAATTTTTTCCTAGTATCTAATCTAAATCTCCCCTCTTTCAGTTTAAAGCCATTCCCCTTTATCTTGTCACTACAAGCCCTTGCAAAAAATCTCTCTCCAGATTTCTTGTAGGACAGTTCTAGGTTCTGGGAGGCTGCTTATTGTCTACCCAAAGACTTCGCTTTTCCAGGCTGAACAAGGCCAACTGTTTCAGCCTGTCTTCACGGGAGAGGTGCTCCAGCCCTCTGATCATCTTCATGTCACTCCTCTGCATTGATAACATTCTGTAAATGGGCTTTAAGCATAGGTACCTGCAAAATATTACATGACTGTTATAAGTTCGTATATAACTTTATAATATCCATTTGTTAGTTATTGGGCTTTTTTCAAATAGGATCAGTAATTCCTAGAGTATTGACAGTAATGAAAGTATTTTTTGTAATTTTGATTAGCATTTTTTCAACCAGTATTCATGTAAGAATTGTTGGAAATGTGAAACTGGGTAATATGTCCTAATAATAAAATTCTTCCCCAAGTCAGTATTATTGCAGGCTTTATTGTTAAGGTGTAAATGGTTCATAAACTTTGTACCAACTTTTCAGTGTTAAGGAATTTTATCCTTACATGAACCAAATTTCTTTCTTTTGTACTCACATACCCTGCTTGTTTTGTAATCTGACTCCTACATACAGGATGCTTAGGTTAAACACTGTAGGATGTGTTCTAGGATACTTTTACCAAGTAAACTCTCCCAAACCCACCAGTGCAAATATTGTGACTAAAACTGTGTAGATTATAGAGAATGGAAAATTTAAAAATGGTCTACAGTTGATGGTGATTCTTATGCATGCTCAGATGGGGTGCACATACTTCTGTGTATTTACAAATTCTGTATTTACGAATAGTCTCAACTGCTAGGATTTGCAAATGCAATACTTCTGTCTCCCTCCTCTTTCTCCCTCTTCCAGGCACAGGAGAAAGTCGCAAGAGTACGTTCATTGAACAAATGAGGATTATTCATGGATCAGGTTACATGGAAGAAGACAGGAAGGGCTTCACAAAACTGATTCATCAAAATATATTTACTGCTATGCAAACGATGATTGGAGCCATGGATACTCTCAAGATACAGTACACATGCAAAGAGAATGAGGTAAGACAGGAAAAAGAAAATTCAAGTTTTAGTCCATTAAATTTCAGTCTGTACGCAAATTTGAGTCATAACCTTCTACAGGCAGAACCTTAAAAGTCCATGTGTCTTGTGGTGAGTTTTGTGCCCTGCTGTCTGATTCTGCACAACAGGTTGAGAACAACAGCTACTGGAAAGAGAAGCAGGATGAGAACAGGCGGGATGGAGCTGCCTAGGAAGGGAGGAATTTTCAAAGTTGAAAAGTGGTAGTAAGTACCAAAAAGATAAAAATGTTTTTTTGAAATCCAAGTTGTAGATTTAGAATGATAGGAATGTGCAGGCAGAGCCTGGTGTTCAGTAGAGCTCCTGAACAAGGAGTTTCGGGCCTGTTGCAGGAAAACATCGGATCTGCTTGACACTGGTATGCTTTGAAATATACCACCTAGAGCCCATTTGTGCGTTTGGTAGCAACCTTTATGTACTTAAAAAGCTTGAAAAAAGAGGCTTTTCCAACCATTTTTTAGTTTCTGTGTATGTTATAAAATCACATTTTTTGTTTCAATGCTTATGATTTATAGAAAAAAAAATAATCCCCTTCAGTTAAATCACTTGCGTCCTTTGCATCCATCCGTTGCATCAGTTGCTTGGGTGGCATGAATAATATGTAAGCAAATCATTGAGACAGGTTTCCAGTTGGCTGAGTTTTAGTGTTAAGATAGGGAAGACTGTGTAGGAAATACCAAGGCAAAAACAATTTGTAGATTATAAGTTTATCTGAAGTACTATATGACAAAGTAACCTATTTTTCATTCAAAAAGTACATTGCATTTGAACAATATAAAAAAAATATGATCAGATTTTTTATTTTTTAAGTTGGTCTGTGTCACTTATTCTCCTTAGGGTTATAAAGAAGAGGGTTAGAAAATGGTTAAAGTAAAGGACTGGGAAATGAGAATTCTGTTATTTTTTACCACAAAAGAAGAGATAGTTTTAGCAAAAACAAATTTTTTACTTCAGAGAGCTGAGGTATTAGGGTAGTTCTTTCCTATATGAGAAAAATATTCCAAGGGTTAATATGTTGTTGCTTGTAAAAAAAAATTTAGATCTTTAAGAAGGTAGCAGTTACAGAAACACCAGATGTAATGGTGAATGTACTTTGTCCTAATTCAGGTTTGTATATTTTGATGAAAAATGCTTATAATCAGAATCTATTTGGAGGTATAAATTTGCACTGCCTCTTCTGTTTGTTTTGGGGTTTTTGTTTTGTTTGGTTTCATTTTTGTGGGTATTTTTTAATTCCTATTAAGAACAAAATAAAAGGACTTGGTAATTTTGCGCTCTGAGAGCTATGCTGGATGCGTTCCCATAACACATTATTCTGGCTAAATTATGTTCTTGATGATAAGTGTGCTGCCGGTGTCTTCAGATTCAGAAGATTATAATGCTCTTTTTCAGTTGCAGGGAGGCAGGATTTAGTGTTGTGCTTCTTTACCAAAGGTAACAAACTGCTAAGTGATAAGAATACAGCTTGACAAGCTCAGCTTCAGTGGCATTTAGAAAGCAAAGTCCTTTTTGCTGTACACACAGAGAAACTCTTGAGACACAACATGAAAATAACCACTTCAGTTTCTCCAGTCACTTTGCAGGAGACTGCTGCAGTTTAATCTTTCATTTCGATGATGAATATAATGCAGAGTACAATAGACACTGTAATTGCCTTTAATTAAAGGATTTTAAGCCTGTAATGAAAAACAGTTGACAACAACAGTGATAAACAGAAGAGTTGTGATTCTGCTGTCATAATTGTATTGCAAAGGTGTCCAGTGGCTGTACAGAAATAGTCCAGCGTGCTTCTCTGCATGTCAGTATGTCTGTCGTCTTCATGGCATGTCTTCTTTTTCATGAAAAATTTGTTTCCCTCTAGCCATGTTATTATTGTTTGTTTGTTTGTTGTTCTTGTATCCATTCTCTGCTTTGACCAGTTCAGGTTTTCTCCTCTGTGGGTCCTGGCATTGTGAGCCTGCTGAATATCTTAATTTAATGTTTTTGTAGTGAAGAACGGATAGTTCTGTGTAGACTCTCTCTTTCCTGTAAGTATGACATATCTCAAAATCCGTAACTTATATATGGGTAGTCTGTCTTCAAGTTTGCAAATAAAAGCAAGTTCTGTAGCAGGTGTTTGAAGATGTTTCTTATTGCTGTTTTCGACTGCAAGTATTTATGTAAATGGCCTGACTTTCTATAGATGCTGCATTGAGATGGGAAAGGGATTTTGTTTTGTGTTTACTTGAAGTGTCTTGAATGAAGTACTTATCTATATAGTCATGCTTGACCTTTAATTGAGCAGGCAGTTTCTACCCTAATTTCAGGTGGTGTGTTCTGTGTGATACTTCGTCTTGCCCCCAATTTGAGGTTAGAAGTTTTGGGTATGTTTTAAGCATAAATCTTGCAGATGTTTAGGAACCTAACAATTCAAGGAATTACTATAGTACTATCTAAACTCTACAGTTTTGGAACTGATTGGTTTGGTTTTGTTTTGTTTTGAGGTTTTTTCCCCCTTTTTTCCCCTATTAAAATGACTCAGTAAAATTTGCTGCTAGAGGTGAATGGGGGGGGGGAGGGGGAGGAAAAGCTGGAGTAAATAATATTTTTTTTATCTATGTGTTGCTATTTTCTGTGTTTTAGAGTGGAAATTACTAAATTGAATATTGGTTAAGTAGCCAGTTACAATACAGCATAATTTACTGTCTCTGAGGGTAGTAATCTTGTGTGAGGGTTTGAATCTGTGTCTTCTTTCCATATGATAATAGGGATTGCCAAAAGGCAAAATGAAAGTTGATTGCAGCCTGTCTATTAGCTTCTTTGAGAAATTGTGATTGAGTTAATGTGAATATTAAGTAAATGAAAGAAGGAAAGTACATGGGATAACTGGGAAGTAGTGAAAGCTCTTTTTTGGTGTACAAATTTATTTTTTATAGTCAGTTTAACTTGTAGGAAAAGAAAATCTCAAATGCAAGGAAAAAGATACCAGGTGATGCTGGAGGAAGGGAAAATACAGCACTTCATTTGTGAGTATACATCAGTCTTAAAAGGCAGATGTTAAAATATTTACTGGTTGCTTGAGTGTGCCAGGCAGTCACATCTTGTTGCATTATGTTAGTTTTTTTGTTGTATCAGAAATAGGCAGAAGAAACAAGCTATGTAAGTGTATTTGAACTGTAGATGCAACAGAGATTTTAAAATACTAGTTCACCAAAACTTTTCCTTCATCTTCCAAACTAACACGTAACCTGTAAGTGTTTTTTGAGTGAGAATATGGCCTTATTCTAGAGCAGAAAGATGGAAGTATCAACTTTGGGTGATTAAAGATGTATGCTGCTTTACATGAGCAAATATAAACATGTTAATACTGAATTACCTGCTCCCCACCTGGAAGTCAGTGGAAAATTTACCACTTCTTGGATGACAACTTTCCCTCACACACATGATATGTACGTGTGCTCAGTTGAGACTGTATGCATGCATGTTTGTTGACGTTAGAATATATGGGACTCTCTGAAGATGCATGGGGAGTTTTTGTTTGCTTGGTTTGGGTTTGGGTTTGCTTTTTTAGGACCATATTCACCAAAATGCCTTATTGTATGTGTAGATTGCCAGACCCCAAATGGGACTGTTTCCAGTAATACCACTGCCTTAAATGGTGGAGTTCTTACTCTGATCTGTCATACTAAAAATATGTGCTTATAAACAATAATGCTAGTTGCTAATTATTATTCAGAGGCCTGCGGGAGCAAGCTGTATGGGCCTGTTAATATATGGACCAATTTCTTTTGCTTTAAAAACTTCTGAGCATCTTTTCTATGCCATCTTGTTGATGGGGGTGAATACTGTGACTTGTTTCATTTACTTATTCTTGACAATACTAAAAATTGAATTTAAATAAATGTAAATGGCTGCATTAAGGGGTTGGGGTTTTTTTATTTCTTCCTTTTCTTTGATAAATTCTGGATAAGCCAGCTGGCTGCTGTCAGATTTCTTTCCTAAATTGTTTCTAGACATACCTAGATGCAAAAGCAATACTGACATGCATTTGCTTATTTTCTTAGCATGAAAGCTCCATCTAGCCACTTCTCTATTCTCTAGTGAAATCACAGTTTTCATTTCTTCTTCAAAATAATTGGCTGTTGGCTATAAATCTTCAGGTATTTCTTTACCTTTTGAAGTTCCAGAGCTACCATAAATCTAACAGAGTTTTCCTTGAATTTATTAACTCATTCCAAGTTTTGTGTTGTCCTGTTAATTTAGTTCACGGTGAAGTTGGTTTTGCTTTCTTTTGTGATTTGGGGTTACTTTAGTTGTAGTTTTTCTCTGTCAGTAAAACTTACGTGTAAGTTTGTCCTGGATTCAGCAGTAGCAGTCATTTTTCTCTTTCTTGGTAGCTGGTGCAGTGCTGTGTTTTGACTTTCGGCCTGGGAACAGAGCTGATAAAGATGATGTTTTCTTTTGGCCAAGGACTTTGTGAGCCTCATGCTCTGCCAGGGAGGAGGGGAAGCCGGGAGGAAGCAGAGACAGGACACCTGACCCAAACTGACCAAAGAGGTATTCCATACCACAGCACGTCATGCCCAGGAGGTAACTGGGAGTTACCCGAAAGGGCTGGGGGACTGCAGCGTTGGAGGAGGTATCGGTCGGTGCTTGGTCGGGCTGGGGGGGGGCGAGATATTGGTCGCCTGGTGATGAGGTGTTGCATTCTCTTCCCTTGTTACTTCCTTTATCATTACTGTTATTGGTGGTAGCAGTAGTGATTTGTGTTACACCTTAGTTACTAAACTGTTCTTATCTCAACCCATGGGAGTTGCATTCTTTTTGATTCTCCTCTCCGTCCCTCCGGGAATAGGGGGAGGGCAAGAAGGGGGGTCGGGGAGTGGGTGAACAAGCTGTCTGGCTGGAGTTAAACCACAACAAAGTTCTAATTATTTTCATTTTGCTTTTGGTATTTTGTGCTAGGGGAGACGGTTTAGCTT